TTAGCTTTGAGTTTTATTTCAAAAAAGAACTTTTCGCTAATAGTTACTGAGATACAAGCGAAAAAATAAATAAAGAGTCCTTATCCCTTATTCCCCCTCTCTCGCGCTCACTGTCCGCCCATTAGGACTTTTTATTTTCTTGAAACTTAGAACTAAGGAACAATTGTGCCAATTTTCAAAACTTCGGGAATTTTTTCCTTCGATTTGTCTATAATACCGTGCTATTGAAAACAAGGCACCATTTGAAATTTACAAGATTGTACAAAGACAACTGTGTAATGAATAGGAAAATTGTTTCAATTTATTTCCGAGTATATAAATGATTACAGACATTCTTTCTTACTTATACCAAAGAGTAACTAATAAGTATTCTTTGCTTATACTGAAAATTGTACTGTTTCCAGGAATGTCACCACACTAAATTACATATAAGTTCCTTTACCTTACTGAATAAAAAATTGCAATAACACACTAAGGAATTATTTTCCTCATACATATATCAAACTATTCCTTTGGCTATTTAATCTGGTATATTATACGCAATATGCATTCGTTATCCTATACAAAAGATAGTAAAAAGCTATCTACTACTTGGGAAATGGGAAAAGGTTAAGGTACAAGATCCGAGATAAATATGATTTCATTTCACGTGTCGTTTCAATGAGAGTTTGTTTTTATAAGAAAGTATATATATCTAACCTTCGATCTTAGCACATTTTTTTTTTAACATTTTGGGTGGTTTGGTGAGATTCGCAATGTTATTTAATGAAACTGCCATAATAACCTAAAAGGTCAAAGCATCTTTTAATTTCTTTTCTTGGTGGACATTGGAAATTTTTGTATTGCTTTAAATGTGTATGGATTGGGAGAATATAATGAGATGTTCTAGGTAAGAGCGATCCGAACTCAAGTCCTGTAATTTAATTTTAACGAAGAGGGCTTGTTGAAATTTAAGACTTGAAGATTATTTGTCAATACCAATAAAATATAATCCTTGAAATACGTCCCGGAATTTAAATAATTTAGATAAAGGAGATTTGACAATTTGAATACTGGAGAATGGAGACTACGTTTGTTAGCAGATTTTTGGAAAACTGTAGATACCAACCAAGTGATCATATTTGATTTAGGAATAGTTTAAAAGCGATATCAAGATCAATAAAAAGCATAATACTTATAACGAATATTTTACAAATCTGGAGCGACATCGGGGCGCCATCAGGTCGCCATCACGGAACCAAGTCAATAAAGGAATAGCCCCCGAAATAAGAAATGAAGGCGAATGTGACGCATTCTTGCCGAGAAATATGATGTGCTTGTCTCTCTAAAACATTTTTGTTTGCTATATAAGCAGATTGAATTGTGTTTGGTGAATGTTGTAATATCCATGCCTAAATAGTAATAGAGAGGTTCGTGCTCATATGTTATAACTTATAAATTTACATGTCATAAATGTTATAGTCAATGATAAATAATAATTTACTGTTATAAATTAGGCAAAAATTAATTGCAATAAATAAATCATAAACCACGTAATTAAATTTACGCTACAATATGTAACTTGCGGTATGTGAAATTTTGCTGCATAGTTTTCAAACTTTAGGATGTCGTTGGTGAGACATTTAAAATCATGGTACTATTTAGTACTGTCCTGATATTGATACGAATTTTCATCTTGAGAATTATCCTGATATTCGAATTCATTTCCATGGTGTAGGGAGGGAAACTTCGTTAGAATCTAAACCATTGAATGAATTGTTCTCTTGTTCATGAAGTTTAGGTAATGTTGTTCATTTTCTTTATAGTTCACAAAATGTTCGTGTGACGGACCATTACGGTAAAAGATTATTTTTTACACACGTTCTACTATTCATGGTATTCTAACGAAAGGTCACACGAAATGATTTGGTTTGTACAAACTATAACTTTCCTGGGCGACTCCTTTCCGAGATCAGTAGGTGGCTGGGGGAGGGAGGAGCGAGAGATTTTATCCTTTATGGTACTCTAATGATAGGTCTCAACGAGAGGAATTAATTTCTACCAACCATAGTCTCCTTCTCGACTCCTTATCGTGATCGGATATAAATAATTTCTTATATCTGGATGTCTGGATGAAATATATCTATTGATGATGCTAAAACTTTACGAGGGAATATCTCGAAAACGCTTTGTCGGAGGAAAGTACCCACAAAGGCAAAATGAATTGTCTGGACGAGTCATATCTATTGGTGAAGTCTCCCGATTAATCATCTAACAACAAAGAAAACATATAGCCGGCTACTACCTTATAATGCAACCATTTACTAAGTTATTTTAGTTTTAAAAATTGCGCTTTATCTGCACAAGAGTTGCGTGCACATGTATACCTACTTGTTTAATTCGGTGTTAGTTTTGCTTTCATTCGAAGTTCATTTAAATATCATAACAAATAAAAAAATTGCATTGCGCAAATACAAAACTTCAATTACGCATGCGCAATTTTTTTTCATCTGCATAGTAGCTTGAGGTTTAAGGAATATTTTCTAACACAGAACACCGCGGGCATTTGTATGTTCTTTGTAACAAGAATTATAAAACAAACGTTTTTTAGAGGTTTGGACAGTTTTTGGGATGTAATTTTTTGACACGATTGTTTAAGTCGCTGGCCTTTTTTGTACCCTTAAGAACAACCAGTTTTTAAGGCGATCGGACGTAGATTCACCGTAAATAGGCTTATGTGTAGATATACATAAAGAAAGTAATCAACATATGTTATTGTGTAGACATTTCTTATAATCTAAAAGACATATTATAACTACTTACTGAACGATGTAAATTAATAGTTATTTATTATAGACGATAAAGGGAGATCAAAGATGGTAAGTCACGAGTCGCGCGAGTGAATTAACTTTCACGAGATGGTTAGATTCCCTTTATACGACGATTTAATAATACAAAACTTTATTTTATAGTATAAACAATATAAATCATTGTAAATCCTCTGACAATTCTGAATTTAATTTAGACGTCAAAAATAGCAAGCTTAGGTTCTTCGATAGCGTTCGTTTCCATAGAAACACCATTGTCATAATGTTTCAAACGTCATTTCCTATCTCACTTCCAATCAAATTTGAAATAAGAATGACATAATTATGTCAGTAGACATTAGACAATCATTTGTTTCACTTTATCTACCCTTGCGGTTAAAGTAATCACTTTATCTATCCTCACGGTTAAATAAAACTGTCACTTTAAAATATGCTATATAATAAAAAAAATCTAATTTCGGCAAAATCTAAATATCCACTTTGATCGCCCTCTAGATTCATAATTGCTTGAGATTTTCCTATACGAAAAACTAAACCGATATAACACAATATCTTTTCCTTGCTAATCCTTGCTAATGGGTAAATTTTCTTTAAGGCAAGACAAGACAAGACAAGACAACGAGGCTTGACTTGAACTAACAATTTTAAAGTCTAACATGTTACAATTCAAATATACTACAAATACTAACTAGTCTTATCATCAATTATGTTAAAGAGGTAATATAACTAGGGAGGGATCTTCTACCATCTGATCAAGGAAATGTTACATCAGCTGTGTTCTTTATTGCTTTAGTGCATTTCATAAAACAGAGTTTAATGCAAGATGTAGTAAAAAAGTAGAGTCAAGTAGACAAAATTCTCTCATTTTACAAGCTGTTTAACGACCCTAATATTATCCTTGGTCGCAACACCTGCGAGCTTAAGTGTTTTGTTTTATAGTTCGAAATGCAGAGCTTCGTCATAAGGTTTAACTTTAACGAATTCAACAGCTAACTTAATCAACCGTATAGAATAGATTTGCTAGTAAATTACTAGGTTAGGGCCCCAAGTTACAATACCGTAGAGCATCCTTCGAAGGAAATTAACAATTCAAAATTACATAGCCACAGAGTTGAAAACCGCACAGCACAATTCGACAAGTAAATTCAAATAAGAGGGGTTGATGTTTGATGGAGAAGGGTGCACGTTCTGCCGTTGACAGCTTCTAAAATTTCGGACATTCGATTCAGTGCTCGCGCATGTCTCACGTTTTTAAATTTGTTGCTTTATTTTACCCCCTGTCTTCTACAATTATTTCCATTTCTCTGATGATTATTTCATTCTATTCAACGTATAGAGGATGCACTATAGTTAACCGTGTCTTTAATATGGGTCGTGTCCTAAGAAACACAACTAGGCAGAAATTGTGGAACATAACCCTAGCCATGTATCCCAGCTACTCAGGAAAGAAAGTCAGTAATGAGCTTTGAAGGTTAAACGATTTCAGATATTACTAACCGATTGTGACTAAAAAATATTTCTTTGTCATTTAATAATAGTATATTAAGAAACAAGTGTATAATCATTAATCAAGTATTAAGCGAATTTAAACGTTGCAAATGTTTTAAAGACCATTTTGATTGACTTTTTTCGCACGCTCAGGCGTGAAATTAGCAGTGAATATACCTTACGCATATTCTATTTAATTTGCTTATAGACTAAAACCATGATATGATAGAAAACTAAGCACCCAACGTCATTTTGGTGTGAAAGTTTGATGAGGTATTTATTGATCGATATTACTTCAATGTTTTCGTGGCAATAATTATAAAATAAGGCACACTTTATATTTGCTGAAAAGAAAAAGTTTTGAAATAATGTTCACCTGAGACATCAAACCTTTTTATACTGAAAACTTAATTATCTACATACTTCACAGGCACGGTACGTCGCGAGTTTAGCAGTTTGGTTTATGATGAAATTCTTCCCCGTTCATTTTTCCGTACCTAACGCAATATTACGCCGTGAACTGATTTTCAAATTGCAATTTCTGTTCAATCAATACTATTCCGTGACAAAGTTATTTGCTTTGTTCATAATCCGCATAATTCATTTAAAATTACACAATGAGTGGGGACTTCTGTTTAAATTGCAGCACTTAATTACCTCGTGCTATAGTATCTACACAAAAGTGATATGGCGTTATAATTCCAGGTATGCGGGACCACTGGCAACTATATGCTATTTGCATGTGAAAATATCAAGAGAACTTCAAAGTCAAGAAGGCTCCCTGGCAGTTGTCATGTTCGAAACCAGAAGTCGAGAAAGTCGTTCAAGAACCGACTCTCACTCCACCACAACAGATTTTCGGTAAGCGTCAGAAACCTGACAACTAAACCAATATAAACGCGTCTACCAACCGCAATTTACATTTTCATCTTAAACGGTTTTATAATTTAACCAACTTCACAGTGTTCCTATAACCTAAGCTTCAACCCTATTTAAGCACTTTAATATGTAAGTATTTACATTAAATATCATAGGGCTGAGTGGGTAATCCGTTCCCATTTTCCCGAAACTGAATTATTAGGGGTGCAGCAAGTTGTAGTTGAGACGGGACATCTATGTGCATTTTCCTCTCTATTTTTCGATTTTATTTTATATGTGCAATTTCAATATCAAAGAAAATGAAAAGTGAAGGGGTGGAAGATTGCTTTCCGTTCATAAAATCCATTTTTGATGTATTATTTTTTTTTTATTTGTACCTCTACTCCCTAGTGATATAAGATACAACTATAAGTATAAGCAAAAGAATCAATTCGAGTTTATGTGTGTGCGAAAGACGAATGCCTACCTTATATAACTACAACAGAACTTGCTTTTTCTTTTCAACTTATTTTAATATTGGCTGTGTTGTCTTCTAATGTACATATTTGATTTGACATTTGCGCTTCTATTCTTCTTTGTCCGAACAAGGACGGTAGGTATTTAACGTACAACACTGCCTTTCTTTTACATCTGCCTTCAGTGTAGATATGTATTCAGAAGATTATTTTAAGGTGGATATTAGGTATACCTACTATAAACGCGGTCAGATCCGAACAGGACCAGAACTAAATAAATAAAATTGTCGGCGAACTCCGTAACCTTACCTTGCGGATGTTTGGCCTCTTATCTCCTCTTAGAATCTAAAATTCAAAACTTAATGCTTTAATACTCTGCTTTGATTGAACTCTAATAAATGTGCAAATGACTTTAGTTGATTGAATACATTAAGAAAAACCAAGACGATCACATTCCATTTTTCTTTACACGTTCCTGGGTGTAAAATTATGGTTTGACACATAAAAAGGAATACAAAAAATGCAATTTCTATTTCGTGATCATGTGGCAATAATCTAATCTATCATTTTTTATACATATTAAATTCCTGGTACCTTCTCCTGTTTAAACTATACACCTACTTCTGAGTGCTAAACAATGTTTTTATCCAACCAAAGGGCTAGTATTACGGAAATTAAATGCAAAATTCTAATCAATTTACTAAAATACCCCAATTCCTATGTTTGGATTCGATTCTTATCAATGAATATAATATAAAATCTGTTTCATGCACATAATTCTCCGTGGTCAATTTCTTTAGGAATACAGGAATGCGCAGGAATAAAATGGCAACGTTCGTCTGTGTCGATATTAATTTTTACCAATTTATTAACTTGAACCTTTTTGCAGGATTGCACCGATTAATTCTCTGTCGTATGCCGTTGTATACAAACTTGATTTATCGCACAATACGCTGTCCAATGACGTGATTCAAGTTTGAGAAACTTACTTTTAACCAGCCGATACTGTTAGGTATCCCGATGAGTTTTAATATCGGTGCATTTACGCGCGGTTTGGTTTTAAAAGCAGTTCGCCAACTAGAAAATGTTCCTTCGCGTATATGTTGTCACTCGTAAATAAACGGCCTTATCACGAATCAGGCTTCTAAAAAAAGTTTCTGACACTCGCAATTTGTCACAAGCCCGAATTTTTTTCTCGGCCACCCATTCGACTTTTCGGAGTTCTCGCTACTTCATTTATTTTTAGTCTAAGTTAAACAGTAAATTCTTTACTATTACTCTGATAAGTTTCACTCAATAAATGCACGATAGACAAATTCCCTCATAAACAGTGTACGTGATCGCTCGCGAATTAGTCTTCGAATCCCTCGCGCTCCCACTTCTTTCGCTATTTGAATCTCGCCCACTAGAAAAACCGGAAAGGGATTTATTTCTGGACCCTAATGACCTCGACCCTTACTCAAATCAAACAACTTCGCAATGAATTGCAAGTGATAGGCATGTTTAAGAACAAAAGGGCTGAAATTTAATATTCCGGCCATTGAGGATATTCTTAGTGTGGACATTGAAGATATATAAGTCCAGTTGTCTCCTTGGAAATGAACTGTTAGTTATAGATACATAATTAGCAGAAGGAGTATGCCAAAAATTGGTATCGGTATCTTTTTTTTTGAATGACAATTCAACTCATGTATAAAAAATCACATAAGCCGCAGTGTAATTGTCACTTTGACAGCGGCAAAAGTTACCTGCAACTTTTCCAGCGACAAATGCACTAGTGGTTTTTTCACTTATTCATTTTCGAACCAATAATCGCATTATCCTTACCCATATGACTAGTTTGACGTCTGTCAATAATTGATTAGTTTGGTGAATTTCTTGTTCGTTAAATTGTCCTGCCGAATTACACTCGAGGTTTGTATTTAAACCGAATAAATTTGGGTTGTGGCAATTCAAATCTGTTTCCTTTTAGCAATTGGACTCGAAAAACTGTCAACCTAAAAATGCTCCACCTGCGGTGTCGCATTTTTATTAGTTGACAGTTTTTCTCGTCTAATTGCTAGGCAACAGATTTTCATTACCTAAACAACCCAAATTTACTCGGTAAAATACAAACCTCTTGTGCAATTATAAGTGATAATTTTCAAATTATCTAATTTTATATGCAAATTGATTACAAACGTGATAATAGTCTTTCATATGGTGCAATTCTTTGTTTGATTATGGAGTGTACACAGGGTTGCAACCAATCGTTGGAAATCTCAATTTTAACCGAATAAATCTGAAAGACAGGAGTTTAATTTTTACATTGCATTTTCCTAGTCCTTATTTATAGAGACATTTTTTTTAAATTTTAACCACAGATATGTATTTCTAGTAAAGCCAAACACATGACATAGTAAAAATAAGATGAGCGCATGCGCAAATTGCGCAATGCCAAGTTTTTTGTTTACGGAGATACATTTTTTTGAAATTTTAACTACAGACAAACATATCGTATGGAGTAATAAGCGCAGACTGCGCATGGTCATGTCATGTTCATTCTTTAGTGGAAGGTTTTAGTAGGTAGCTATTGTCTACTGTTCTCTAACAAATAAATATAAATAGATTTGTTTAACGTTTTTAAAAAAATTAAACGTTACAATATAGTTATTTGTGAACGAGTGACAAGGATGAGATCTATGGAAAATGATCCAGATTTGAACAGAACTATAATTTCACACGTGAATGTATGAGTTCCATTTGGAAACAATTTACATAGTAATGCAGTTCCACTATCCCTGAAGCGAAATGAATACTCCCTCGAACAATACACATGTGGCGTGATGAATGAAGCTGCCCCTGTTCTTATTATGAAATCTCGTACAAAAAGGTGAACATATTTTATGATCTTATTACCTACTATAAAGCACGATGTGATGCCATCGTATCTAAATTCATTGTTCCCATGACAAAGAATCTTTTTCAAATGGAACACGTGAAGTTTTACGGCAAAATAAGAAAATTTATGATGCAAATCCTGGTACACACCGTTCGTTTTTTTGCCTAACATGTCTAATTTATGTTTCAGCGGTAGCCGAGTGGAAAGTGACGGTATAAGCCAATTTAGTAGAGGAAGTTTTCGTGATCGCGAAGGCAGTCGAGCCCGTTATGAAATATATGAGAGCGAATTGGACGTTCCAAAGGAAAAGAGAACTCAGAAATATCTTGTGTCCATGGTTACAATGTATGCGATATTTTTATGTCCATTAATGGTTCTTCGGCTTGCAAGGCTTGCGCTATTAGAAACGTACGATAATAGTGGCCATTTTGATATCACTTATACGACTTTAGTTTGGTTCGCCTTCCTGCCAACATGTTCCACGCCACTTTTGTTTACGTCTTGGCAGATGAGTCGGTGAGTAGGTATCTATTTAGATGATTTCTCAGATAATTACTACTAATGACAAATAATAGTAATAGACATACCCTTAGAATGCTTAAATGACCTTACTCATCACACACCTGCATGATCCGAGCTCAATTTTACTTTTGTTTGCACAGGATTGGACTTCTGAGCAGTAATCCTTATTGCGTTTGCGATTTTTCCGATTAGCACGTAAAATCTCTACCGCTTTTCAACACAAGATACCGTCTTTAGTCTTGGTTAACAATCTCTATCCGTTATAATTGGCTTCCCCCCACTGTTAGGTAGTAAGCAGATGACTATATGGGATTAAAAAAATAAGCTGAGAGGACGTGATAAATACTGGAAATAATTACCGTGGCCAAGGCAAGATTATTATAAACGGAAACGGCACGACTCTAATTTAATGCTTGCACTGATAAGATTATTATCCTAAATTTCATAATTTGTGCCATAAAGTTGGAGGCCATTACAATATCAAAAATCTTAACTTCTGTATTTAATATCGGTTCGAGGAAATGAAACGTGTAATTAAACGGAACAGACTAACAGGCAATACTTTACAACGTGAGCTATTAGACCGGTCATATCTGTCTTAGCTTAGCATTGATCTATAGAAATACACGGCCACAAAATAGTAAACTGACCTACAGATATACCAATAGGTGGGTAATAATCTAACCTGAGGGTTAAAGTGTAAAATCTTCTGTATATGAACTCCCCGACGTCAGCTGTAATAAAGCTTTAATCTGGTAAGGACGAAGGTGGTAAAACCGATGTGAAGCAAACTTTCTGTAGCCCCTTGAGCTTTATTTCGTTTACTCATTTTTCTTTAATGCTCGTACAAGGCCTTATATATTTTTTTCTACTCCCATTCGTGAAATGAAATTTCACACGTCGATCATAATGACGTGTAAAGCGAAATATTTAACACGATGCGTGAAATACAATGCAAGTTTATGGGATTTATTTCACGCATCTCTTCCATAAGAGGGTATACACTTTTCGGCACCGACATCGTTATTGCGTGCGTGCTTTGGCTGCAATTTTGACATTTTGTTATTAGACGTTGAATCCACGGTCCGTATACTAAACGGTTGCCTCACTTTGCCGATTATGACGTATTTGGGCCTGTAGTAAGCACCTCCCACCACATAATCCTCCTGCTATAACCATTTGGTAATAATTATACTACCAAAAAGACTTAATTTTTGATGCAATCGTTACGGCTTGCATTGCGTTTATTACTGCAATGATATTTTAAGCAACAATCAGGAGTAGCTTATTTCTTGTACGTTTCTACAGTGACCAGTGCATACCTACGATCGTCGACGTTTGCTATACGTTTAGGTACCTACCAATAAAACTACTATTTTACTTATGGAATGGAAAGATTTATAATTCAATATTACATGCATAATTATGTTTACATATCTAATTCTTCTGTACGTGTGTTTGGGACTGAACTCCTAACTCCTATATTGAATCGTGCACCTACCTAAAAGAAGCAGGAAAAGCACCTTTCAAGTACCTAATCTTTGGATCATGAACAGTCGTAATGAAGCACAAGATTCGCGGGCACACACATACATGGTGCGCTACCAGTTTAATTTATACCTATAGGTAACCAATAGTTCCATATCTTGAAAGAAAATTATTACAATAAAAAAACGCGACAAATGAGGGTGAGAGACGTATACAATACACCTGTGCACGATGCCCGTGGTAGAAGCCGCAAGCGTACAGAAATGTCAGAAATTGTACCACAGGCCAGAGTACGTCACGTCACAAGCGGTAATTCCCTCTCTCACTCCGCGTCCACAAACTGCAGCGAGTGAGGCAACCGTTTAGTATACGGACCGTGCGTTGGATAAACCGCTGCCAATGGTAACTTCAATTGTGGCTTTACGCAGATAGCACATTAATATGTCAAATTTAGTAGTTTTATTATGTGTGCCGACTTACCAAGCACCCCACCTCAAATTACGACTGCAGCTAACGAAGCGAGCTCTACCCTACTACCAGTTAAGTCTTTAAACATATGGAATAGAGAGAATAAGATTCCTATTTCTCCGGGAATGTTATTTTAATCTTCTTATCCGCGTTATCCAAAATCTACCCTAAAGTACGAACTTATTTAAAAGGAAAAAAATGAGGGACAAAGCTTTTCAGTTCTTCCTTTACCAAATTTTGTTACAATCGGTTCAGCCGCCGTTTAATCGGAAATGAGAGTACAGACAAACCGACACAACGAGATTTTGTTTCATTCGGATTCCTGGTGCGTCAAAACATGTATTTTTGTCAAAAAAGTGCGGGGGGTCATTTTTTGCCCCAAAGCTATACCTACCTCCAGGGCCGGACCTACCATTTTTTCTAGGAGGGGAAGCTTCATTTTTGGCCCCCCCCCCCCCCTCGATCCCAAACGATTTACAAAAAGGCATACTACTATATGAGTCGTACATGAAGTTGAAGTAAAACTTAGGTTGAATTAGAAAGTGTTATTTTAATGAAATAAAAAAAATTTTTCATTTTACATTAATTCAAAACAATAGAAACAATAAAAAGAACCTAATTCGACATATTTATGCTAGTCACAGGTAAAAATTCAGTTGAAACAAGAAATCTAGCCTCAAACTCGCCGTAGGCTCACTCACTCGGTCGCGGTAGCCGGTAAGACTGAACACTTGTGGCTCAGGTGGCTGGAGAGCGTGGTCCGGGGTGGCGACTTGCCCGTTGCGCCGTAGAAAATAACCTGCCACTTTTAAAATATCTGTTAGTTTTGCAAAAATATGGTGTACTGAATTTAGAATTTTCACTCACGTAGACGGTGCTTGACATTAAAAACGATAAATGCTTATAAAGTTTTTATTTATCTTTATTTAAAAAATGGCGGCTCCATCCCATCATTTGGCGGCTGGCGCCCCCCTAACTCCGCCGCCCGGGGCGCAAGCCCTTTGAAATTTATAAAGAAGGCACCTGATGAAACATTTTTACTAGTTAAAGTAAGTTGTTATAAATTAATACTTAAATATGTAATTGTTATTTTGGGCCTAGGTTTTACCGCATGTTGAACAAACAGCCTGTGTAAAAATTCAACTAAAAATTGCTTTGCCACAAATCTGCCATTGTACTGAATTCAATTGACATTACACCGCGGTAGGCTTCGACGACACTGATAGTGCATGACGGATCATGTCCACACACCTCGTGTTTACTCGATCGGAAGACAGGAAGACGAACGAAGATGTTGTCCAATTGTAAGTCTATGGGGCCCTTTTCTTGCAATGTGTACAATGAAGCGGAACGTATGCTACAAATTTACTTCTTCTTCTTCTTTCCGTCTATCGTTATTAACGTTCCTTTACGTTAATTTAACTGAGGGCGGTTCGTATTATGTAATTATCGTCGGCTGCTCATCGTCTATACCCTCTTCTGGCCTTGTAAGGAAAACGGTCAATACTCTTTATTGAAATTTGACATGGTTCTTAATTTCTTAAAAATATCGCCTTGGCAGAGATGGGAATTCCGTTAGATCAGTTTCGAGTATTCTGCCGGCTAAGCCGAATTAGATTTTGCTGCAGTTTTCCTAATTCGTAAGGTAAATACCGGAGTAGTATATAGAACAACTTAAGACCTTCTGCAGGTGCACCTCTAAAAAGCATTATGCAGGTCACTATGTAATTGATGTTGAGGGTCCAGAACAAGAGAGGAACAATAAATAAATAAATGACTCGTCAACGAAACTTGCTTCTCGAAATGTTCATCACCTCATTGGTTGTATGAGCAGTTACCTTACCCTGCTGGAACTACAGCCCCTGCGCACTAAACGATTTTTTGTGCAATTGAACGCGAAACAACAACTTCGCGTTCGCTGTCATAGCGACGGCCGTTAAAGTAAAACAATGTCACATATATTTTGACAATCAGCATGTAGGTAATTACAAATCTTTTGGATAAATGTTAATATTAATCGTACAGTTCGTATTGTTACTTATACTTACTCCTGAAATAAAGTCTAAAGTGTTAGAAGCGTTATACTTTGAAACTGTAACATTTTGATTTTCATTAGAACTCAAACTGACAGGTACAGTTTTTTATACACTCGTTTATATTAAGCATGCACTTTAGCATCGAATACACACTCCATAAGCTTGAACTTTTTAAGGTCTTCGATTTTTCCATAAGGTAAGCTAATAGTACATTTTCAGACAAGGTTCCGGATATCGAAGAATCACTTTCGGAGGCACACATTTTGACTTTTCTTTCACGAAAAATTATTCATTGCTTATCTCATTTCCATGGTAAAATGAAAACCGGCCGTCTTTCTATTTGCGACGAAAATTATTATTTTTGAAATCTCATTTTTATTTATTGACCATTCTACACAATTGCACAAAAAATGTTGTGTATACCACGGCCGCGTCATTCTTTAACGTCCTCAAAGTTGCCTTGCCTCGGCCGCAAGCGGCCTCGGCGCCAATCTTCTTTTCGGTACGTTAAAGAATGACTTCGCGGCCTAAGTATACAAATAACTATTTCCGAAGTTCGGGAATCAGGCGTTCTTCCACATTAACCAATAACTTTGGGAATTGACCGTAACGGTTCGACCACCCTCTTCACAAAAGTATGGCCCAATGACACAACTTTTCGCTACAGCACACACCACAGTAACCTTAAGACTATGCAGAGGACCTTCATTTTGTTCTTCAGAATTTGTCGCCAACTAATATCGAAAGTTTTTTTTTACATAACCGTCCCGATGGAAATGTCTGCTTCGTTGATCATCATCAAAATTTAGTCATCAAGTCAATCATTTGCTCTGCATAGTCGTTAGGCTTTAACTGCTGGAGAATAGCCATTTAATCGAAACGCAATTTTCGTCAAACCGAGCGGTCAGACATGTGCAAAGCAGCAGCAGCTTTACGGCTGCCTAGGACTGGCTCATACTCGATCGATATTCTCTGGCGTTCGGGCGACCTGGATGACCTAGCTGTTTTCCGTTTTAACGTTGAACCGGGAGCTCAGAAGTTACCCACCTATAGCGGAATTGTGCTACGAGTTGCAACTCTTCCTCTTGAATCCACATTAAAACGTGTACGGAACTGCCGCTGAAAAGCAACGAGGAATCGGCACTTTTAAAAAACGCCTCTACAACAAACGCTCAACAGCAAACCGACCGCAACGACATCCAACTCTCCAGATTTTAAGCCAGATCTTATTGGCTTTGTGTGCAATTTTCTGTTTCCCCGGCGGTGTGGAGTTGAGGGTGAGGATTCGCTCACTTCTTTTCGTTGACTGAGCCCATAATTTTCTGTCTACTTACGAACGAGCGATAAACGACTGCACTCGAGACCGAAAGTCCACGGGAACGCGGAACTGATATAGGATATAATCTCTTGCATTTTACAGAACCATTTTTGACCACACTAACAGTTGCAGTAAAATGTTCTGTGATTCACAGAACCAAAGGCTCTGTTCTGGCCTGACTGTCAACTATAGTTAATGCTTACAAAATAGTTTAAAAAAAACTCTATGGATCATCAAATAATAATAAAATTAAAATGCGGTTAAATACAAAAGAAACAAACTAATCGCCCCAGTCAAATTTAATATAAGTTACGTTAGCCTAGTTTGCATATCAGATATATAAGAACGTTTATATTATAATTATAAAGGCTACTCGCAAATATTATATCTCTAATTCAATTAATTATTGTTAGACCTTTAGGCCATGTATAAATGGACGATCAAAAATGAGTGGCGGTCGCGACGCTTTTAGAAGTTCAAGTTAAGTAGGTAGTACGATTTATAACCATTATAACCATTTCTTGTTTTCATTTCAAAATCGGCGCTTCTTGTTCATTTTATAGGTCGGCAAAAGAACGACTTCGTGGGTACTTCCGCTTTAGTAATCGGAAATTGAGGCAGTCATGCGAAGCGGTAATTACCGCCGCAGGAGGCACACCGGCCAGAAGACCTCGTGCCAGCTCACGTCAAGGGGACCTTTTAGTACGGCGCAGCGAAGACGGGCACTCTGAAAGCTACAGTTTCCATCAAGATTTGGTTTCCTGATTACATACGAAGAAAATTCGGTATGTGAATTTTGAAATTTTTCACTAACGTTTCACCATTATTTTTATTATAATAAAAGCGACAAGTCACGGCGTCTCTTAGATTTATAACGTAATAATTTCATGAAGTTAGTACGAAAAACCATAAATCGTTACAGAGAAAAGTAGGTATAAGTAATAGAACATATATCAGAAAAGTCTTCTTACACGTTACACCGAATGTATAATAGCGCTTTATATTTCGTTACGGTGTATGTATAATAACGCAAGATGTATCTTGATGCAAAAAAAAGTCACCTAAGTTTGAATGCTGTGAATGACGTGATGTCTGGGTCCATTTATGTCACTTACGGAAAATATATTGTGTATAAATATTTACATAATTCTTCCAGTATGTCATTTAATTCATAATAGAAAGTTATTGCAACCTAGCAAAAACTTCCCTTGCTGTTTCCTGTATTTTTAGCTTATTTTAAAAAGTGTTATTGCAACGGCGCTCTTGTGCCTTGGAACTTTATTTTGACAAGTACATACCTGCGCCAAAATCTTATACACAGTAAGAAATTAAGTGGCAAATTAGAAAAAAAAAGTTGTTCCCACAGGTCTCCATTATTTCTTTGCAAATTTGGCACTAATTTAAGTGGTTTACTTTAGATAAAGTTGAAATAAATGAAATGTTAATTTTACAAATACTCTTTGTAATATCACTGCAAATAAAAAGTTATTTTAACATAAGCTTATGACAGCAATTGCAAAAAAATATTGAATGCACTCTACTTATTTGTGTTATTAGAAGCTTTATGAAATGGTGAAATATATAAATTGGAGTGGCAATACGCCAACCATTAAAGGTAAGTATTACAAAACGAAGGTGGAACTGTACCCATATATAGTAGTAATTTACCACATTATTTTATTTGAATAACGCTCTAGTTATTGCTATATTACTGCGTATGAAAATTCACTGTAACAGTATTGAATTGTTGCATTACCGAACAAAGGGTGGAAGTGCCCTATCACGTTGTTGTTACATAGACATTATAAAATTCATATTATGCCTAATACGAAGTAGAATTTTTCCACCAAGGAACAGTAAGGATGACTAAACCAATATGTTATTGTGACAGAATAATAGTGGCAATTCACTAAATTGATTTGTTATGATGGCATTTTGGTATTTGTTGCTTGCCACTATAAACATTGTCAAATTGCACGTTTTGCACATTATTTGCTAATGAATTTTCAATTACATGTATTTGAATAGTTATGACAATTTAATTAATTTTCGGTTAATTGTGATTATTTGCAAAACGAATTAGTCTTTGTTTAACCAAATTGAAATTTTGACCTCTTTGTTATACCTACTATTATATCTAATGAAAAAGTGTATTTTTTTAAAATAATTATGTTCCAATTAAATCCACATCAAATTATATATTGCATATATTCGATAAACAATACAATTTGGTGAATTTGTTATCCACTGAAGAAATTACCATAAAATAACAAAGTCCAAATAAACACATCATTTTTATTATCTATTTTAGCTATTAAAAAAAATGCTTAACAAAAAAACACATGTACGTACAATAAATTTGAAGAATATCTTAGGTTATTTAAAATAAACCAAATGACTTACAAAAAATTATCTTAATCCTAAGAAAGTATACTCTTTCGTGCTACATTAGTGCTTACTACTACTACAATTGCAAAGTGACGGATTTGTTTTGTAAGACGTAATCATAACAAATATTTAAAAAAAGTGAAATTATAGCGCATAGAAACTAAAAAAACAAGACGGTGCCCCAGCTCAAAATGCGTTAATTGTTCGAAATAAATATTTGTAGATTTTCTTCAACATCAGTTAGTTCACTGTTTTGTTCATTGTTTTCTTTAAATGTTGATCGAGCTTATCTGTCAATAGGCGACTGCATTTTTTGTTATTTACTATCAGACTCGCTTTCAGACAAGATGTATTAATAAAACAATTTATTGTAGAGAACTTATTATTGAAAATAAATATGACATAGGTATCATACATTTTCGGAAATCTTATAAAACAATCATTTTTTTAAAACCATGGCCACCAAACATTTCGATTTAAAAATATCCACTTTGAGTTAGTTACAGCGAAGGTACTAAAATGGCTAGAAACAGCGACTAGCGACATATTTACGTTAAAGGGCGCCTGAATAAAGCTGACACGGTTTTGTTCTAGCTTCAAAAATAAGGGAGTTACAACAAATTGAAGGAATCGGCCATTTTTTAGTTCTTCTCTGTAGGGGAAAAAACAAAAGACGGCACTTGGTTTCTGACAACGGTAATGGAATAAGCATGAAAACAGAGGTACCGAGTACCTAAGCTATTTTCGTTTATATGTCCTAATAAGAAAGTTATCCGTTTAATCCCATCGAAATTGGACCACACTGAACATCACACGAAATAAGGGGTAAAGTGGTCACGTACCCCATCTGAAGGGCACCCCATTGGATGGTGACAACATTATGTTTTGTTTTTTTTCTATTTTGTTTTGTATATATTCTATGCACTGTCCAATAAAAGGCAATTTATTAAGAATTAGATTAAACCAGCATCATGTTTAAATTTGGACAATTTGAGGTTTTTGTTTTGTTTTCTTCAGAAAACCTGACTGGCACTAATATGTTAAAAGCTAAGCTTGTTTTGAACATTAAAACAACGTTGCAAGCCCATACGTTTAAACACATACTCTCGTATGTATTACCTAACTATACAATTAGCCCTGTGATGTATCACAAACGTTAAACCTAACGTGCAGGTTATCTGCCATAACGTGCACTGCACTTTCAGTTTGACGTTTCTGATACATCACAGGGCTGAATGTATGACTTATAGGGCCTGCCACACAGAGCGCGGTCTACGATATCAGTATTCTATGTAAATGCATTGTTATACTTACAGGTTTTACTTTTTTTTCTATCAAACACGTACAATAAAATATGTAGGTTTAATAGACAAATAAGCTAACTTCGGAATGAAATTTATTAACTATACTTACTCTAATATACAACCAAAATGAAATATGTGCATAATTCAGTGGTACTTTACTGCTTCTCCAGTTTCTTCTTCCTCCCGCTTGATCTTTTTCTCACACAAGTGGTGCGTCGCTTCTCGTGAGCCCTGTACCCCACACAAATGTTTCAGGTCGATAAAGTTAGCACCCCCACTTTTCCCAAATCAAGTAAACATATGCCTATAATTTAGATATTCATATTCGGGCGGCCAATAGACTCGGTACGCGTCAACTCGCCAAGGGCGACTCGCCACCGGACCACTCGCCACCGACTGACTCGCCAACGGAACAACTCGCCAACGAAATATTTTCCCCTGTTTAATGTGTCGTTCAAATAACGATGTGATTGTCAAATTTTCTGTTCAAATAAATCGAAAGAATGAGTAACAATTTCTTGTTCCAATATTCAACCCCATTGTCGAAATTGACATATGAGAATAAGAATGTATATGATTGTCGATAGCGATTTATACAGTACCTAGGTACTATTTTCGTTAAAACGGTTTTCGGCATGAAGGAAGTGCTGTTGTGGTCAGTTTATATAGTTTTTTTAGCGATGACATTAAAAATTATAGGTATTCCATGACTACAATTTTTCGATAAACTTTGTTTACAAAATTAGGGAAATTGACTATAGCATTTGTGGGATGGATTTGTATGACACATTAAACAGGGAAAATATTTCGTTGGTGAATTGTCGCAGTGGCGAGTCGTCCGTTAGCGAGTTGTCGCGTTGGCGAGTTGTCCCGTTGGCTAGTCGGTCGGTGGCGAGTCGCTCTTGGCGAGTTGACCGTGTCCCCAATAGACTACGTCGCTGAAAAACAATAGCGCCTTTCTTATATTCTTAAGACGGTGTTTACTAATTTTCAAAGCGATAGGAGTTTCTAAACGGTTATTGTTATTGTGCGCATGCACAGACATACAAACGGACAGATATGCAGACAGCAATACACAAGGAGGATCGTTACTAATTTAGCAGTGTTTCGACCCTAATATTCCCTCCCAACTAGCGCCCTGGCTCAGACGACTTCCTAACAATGTTTACAAAAAAATGTTTGTGTTTAGTCTTTTTTTTAGAAAACAATTGTTTAAATAATGTATAAATTGTTTAAACAGTGAAAATCTAACTAGGGTACAACTTAGTCTTTAATTCATAGTTTTTAATGCGACTAATGACAACCTTGCTGGCTCATGGTCTAATAATACCTATAGACAGACGACACACCCACAGATATGAATAGCGCAAGCATCATGTTAAAAATCCAATGCAGATTTGGACTACTTCAAATTTTTCTCTGCAATCTATTTTAGGTTCTGAAACTGTTTAAAAGAATTGGAACAAACGTTTAATAACATAAACCTGTTTGATGCTACTTTTATCATAATAATTAATTAAATCACATGTCAAATTGTAATCTAGATGATTAATAAAGAATTACAGTTCCTTTAATTGGTTTCTTAGTATCTTTCCAGTAGCACTTTTAGGTATGGAGTCTATAAATGAAACTCCTCCACTTAATTGTTTATATTTCACAACATTTTCCTTTACGTAATCTTCTATTAACCTCGGGGTAACATTAGAGCCACGCTTGAGCACCACAAAGGCTTTTGGAGCTTCCCCTAATGTATCATGAGGCACACCAACTACAGCTACGTCGTCTACATCAGGATGACCTCGTATTAACTCCTCCAACTCGACAGGGGCAACTTGATAACCTTTGACCTAAAACTGTATGATTCTCATTCAGTGCGTTTTTGCCATTTTAACCTTGATCAATTCTTTTCGTCGTCCTGTTATGAAAAAATGGCCATCGTCGTCATAACATCCTAGATCGCCCGTTTTAAGCCATCCGTCACTCATGAATACTTCTTGATTGGCCATTTCATTTTTGTAATATCCTTTCATTATCTAATTTGAAAATGATTACAATTTTAATGTATTCGCTGTCTTTATACCTGTGGGCCGCGAAGCACAATTTCGCCAACTTCATTTGAACCCACTTGCTTACCACTTTCTGGCAAAATAATCTTGGCTTCTGTTGATGGAAGTAGTAAACCAATTCCGCCCAGTTTCATACCAACGTTAATACGCGTGGTTTGAATATGGGTTAAAGGCGATGTTTCGGTCATACCATAACCCTGAAAAATATTCACGTCCATACCTGCTTTTTCACGCAGTCGCTTTAGTTGCAATATTCCCAAAGGAGCTCCTCCGGACATAATGGTTTTAATTTTCATGAAATGAGATCGTTTAATGCGACTGTTGCTAAGTAACATTTGAACTGAAAATGTAACGTTTTCGTTTTCTAAGAGTGTAATCCTCGTAATTGTTACCTATTGGTGGCACAATGAAGAGGGCGGTCGTGCGGAAATTGTCTAAAACGTTTACTAACATTGTGGATGTTAATTTTGGTACAGTCACTAATTTACAACCCCTTAATAAACCTTGCAGCATTATCATTGTCATTCCATAAATATGATACATAGGCAATATAAAAGGCATAACATTTTGTTCTGGACCTAAACCAATGGATTAGATGTGTCATCATTGAATGTAAACGTACACAAATCATCCGCTTCACTGAGTAAGAGATCGTATTCGTGCACACACATTTGATGTAAGTTGGAGACTAAATTTCTATGAGTAAGTTCCACTCCTTTAGGGTGTCCACCCGTTCCGCTAGAAAATGGTATAACTATTGTATCATTCACATCTCTTTGGAAAACCTGTTGAAAGTTAGACGGCGATGTTTGTGCAATATCATCAAAATCAATTGAATCATTGGGTGGTGATGTATCATTCTAATAACGAAAGGCGGTTACATGTTGCACCAGCGTATAAGTTATGTACCTGTGTGTTTATTGTAACTATTGGAACATACAGCTTCGCAGACTGTAACGTTTTCAGTACAGTGATATACTTCTCATTCGTGCAAAACACCATTTTGGAATTCGTTTGTAATAATTGTTTACTTATTTCGCCTGTGAAGTAAAAATTATGATCAGAGCGAAGCATGGCATACAACTAACGGGGTTAAATATTGCTAGCGAATACTGAACAATGAGCATGTGTGGTTAAATAAGGGCATACAAACTGCTTCATGCAAAATATCGACGAAATTGGAGATCGAATCTTGTCATCTAATGTCTGTAGAGACAAACTTGATACTATTTTTTGCTTTGCTTTTTGACCTCTTTAGAGTAAAAAACTTTTTGGATCTGTTGCCCAAAAAATTTGAACTTTTTATCTAAAATAAGTTTGAAACTTGCATCAAACCTTCTCGCGCCACCGACAAAATATCCAGTTTGTAGTTTCAAAATTAGTTGTCGTTTGTATAGTTTGGCGATGAAAATTGGAAATATTGATAAAAACCAAACCAAAATCCAAAAATTTGGTAAATTTGACCCTCTAAACTTGGAATTTGGATTTCTGGTCGGCGCACAAATACGCACAAGTCTAATCAATACATTTCATAAGCCTTTTGTGAAGAAAACACCGAGTTTGACACACCCCTCTCGTAAGCTAGAGAGAAGTGTTTTGAATCGCTAATTATTATAGGTAAACACAATTTATTGACAGCGTTTGGTGGAAACGTCAATAGCAAATAATTTTCTTGTAGAAATTAATAAATTGTGAGTATCAGTCCACTCTCTAAGTCTAAACCCTTCAAACGTCAGGATTTGCGTTTTTAATTCAAACTTGTACCTTCCAAAAAGATATAAATTCCGGCGTCAAACAAACGTTACTATACTAAACGTAAAGCTCCGAACTAGATCTGCCAGCGTTCAATGTTAGAGAAAAGCAAAAGATGCTTTAGTTTACAAAACTATCAATATAGATTTAAGCATTACTGTTTATGCGTTGCTAAGCTTCAATTTTACCGATGGGTCACACTTTAAGCTTAAAAGAAGTGTCAACTGTCAAACTTCCCAAATATCACAAGTACGTATATTGCAAACACATAGTACGTAGAGCGCTGGTTTTACGCACGTACATTTCACGTAGACTTCCGGTTCATGTGCGTACATTTCACGTACATGGTACCTTATTTTTGCACTATTTTGTACATCCTAGGTATGTACGTACTGCCGTACGTACATTAGACGCACTGTTATGTATGTACAGTGTACTTACTCTTGGTCTCGTACATAATACATACGGCAAGGTACGTACCTAGTATGTACAAAGTGGAGCAAAAATAACGTACCATGTACGTGAAATGTACGCACAAAAACGTAAGTGTACGTGCAATGTACATCCGTAAATCCAGGGCTGTACGTACTGTGTATTTGCAATATACGTACTTGTGTTATATAGGAAGTAGCCGTGCGGTTCAGTCAACTTTCTATTGAACAACAGCGAGACTGTATACCTAACAAGTAATAACCGTGCGCGGGTGGATATACGTTTGCATTACGATTACAGTGAAGTTGTTCTTTTGCAATTATGGAAAAAATGTATTCGGTGGAATAACTTATACATTAGACGAAATGCTGTAACGTTTACGGGTGTTTAAAGTAGAAAAATACAATAAAACGAGGTGGATGCGTATATGCGGTTGTGTTAAAAATGAACGTGTTGTTTTGCTTACCATGTAGAATTTTTGCCGATGCTAGAAAACTAAAGTAAGAAAGCCGGACTTGAGACCTGAAAGAGCAAACCGCGTGCGCATGTCATGATCATATGCAAAATTAACAGTTGATCGAAACTACCGGATTACCATGTATGTACTTTGTATGTTATAGAGTTACAATTTCTGATCGTCAAAATTTGTTACTTCTGAAACAAACCTTCAAAACGATATACTGCTGATGATATGTCATTAGAAAATTGGCATGTGGTACAACGGTTGCCTCTCTACCATTGCATTTGCAATCCTATCGAAAATATATGGGGAATTTGCGCACACAACATTATAGCCGACACATTGGCGAGAAAGGTTATGGCAGGGAAAAGTGTTTAATGTGGCAACAAGCCAATGGTGCAGTTACACCTGATATGTGGAAAGGCACTGTAGATTGGTGGCACAGAGAAGCGAAGTTTGACCGAGATGGTGTAGGCCCACTAATAATTAATTTGGAAGATCATTCAGATAAAGAAGATATTTTTGTAACTGACTATTCAGATTAATGTTTTTCGGTTTATTCAGATATCAACCTTCGAAAAGAACGTGTCTTCGGTAAAAAGGCTGTGGCTTGATTTTGGCCACGACGAAAACAAGAAGATCGGCGAACAAGTTAGGCGAAAGTTTATCGCCCTTGCGACGTTCAACAACCAAATGGAACGATGCAAATTGATGATTTTGGAAAAAAATATGACGTTCCTAGAATCTTGAAATTCGTGACCTGATTTTTATTGTCACACAATTTGAAACGTTTTGTGGATTTTCATTCGCTTTTGTTGTCTTTGTTAATTTAGTTCGTGTATTTTTGTGTGGGCTATGACAGGGTTTTTGCGGCCATTGCTGTATAAAAAGAACCCCCAGTCTTAACACCGGCTACTACCCAGATTCAAAAGTGCCGCAAACGTCCGTCCTTTTGACATGACAATAACGGTGGCTCTGGCTCGTTAGTATGGACAACAGATATACGTTATATCTGTAGTACGGAGTAAGTCAAGATGGCAGTCGCTTCTCGATTTCTGCTGCTAACTTAGCTAACTACTTTACGTCCAAATAATACTGTCTACCTTTAGTAAAAGATCGCGACATTGACATCGTGTTACAAATAATTACCGACACTTTTTTTTTAGTAATTGGTCGATACCAGTCATTGATGTAATTTATTCTCTTTTATTGATTGCATGGCGCTATGTTAACATACTTAGTGATGATGTTATAATACATCGATGACGTGCGCACAAACTAAAGAAAATCCTAGTATATGTACGAAATTTCAGTGTCTCAAAGCGTTTTTCAGTTGTCGTGCCAACGGCCGGACGTTCAGGCTTTATTGAAAAAGTAGCTGCTCGCTATACATTCGCACACCGAGAGATTTTTTCTCTGTAGATGGATCACATCATTTCTACAGCAAGACTGCAATGTTATTTTAGGTTCTGAAACTTTTACAAAATTTGGAACGAAAGTTTAATACGTAAAGCTGTTTGATATTACTTTTACTCATACGAATCAAATCAAATTTCAATTTGTATCCTGATCATTGTTGAGGAATTACAGTAGTTCCTTCAATTGGTTCCTTAATATCTTTCCAGTACCATTTTTAGGTATGGAGTCTATAAATGAAACTCCTCCACTTAATTGTTTATATTTCACAACATTTTCCTTTACGTAATCTTCTATTAACCTCGGGGTAACATTAGAGCCATGCTTGCGCACCACAAAGGCTTTTGGAGCTTCCCCTAATGTATCATGAGGCACCCCAACTACAGCAACATCGTCTACATCAGGATGGCCTAGTATTAACTCCTCCAACTCAGCAGGGGCAACTTGATAACCTTTGACCTAAAAGTGTATAGTTCCCATTCAGTGTGTCTTTAATTGTCATTTTAACCTTGATCAGTTCCTTTCGTCGACCTGTAATGAAAAAATGGCCATCGTCGTCATAATATCCTAGATCGCCCGTTTTAAGCCATCCGCCGCTCATGAATACTTCTTGATTGGCCTTTTCATTTTTGTAATATCCTTTCATTATCTAATTAGATTTTAAATGTTTACAATATCAGTGCATTTGGTGCCTTTATATACCTGTGGACCGCGAAGCACAATTTCCCCAATTTCATTAGAATCCACCTCTTTACCACTTTCTGGCAAAATAATCTTGGCTTCTGTTGATGGAATTAGCAAACCAACTCCCCCTGGTTTCACACCAGCTTTAATACGCATGGTTTGAATATGCGTTAAGGGCGATGCTTCTGTCATACCATAAGCTTGAATAATATTCACGTGCATACCTACTTTTTCACGCAGTGCCCTTAGTTGCCATTTTCCTAAGGAAGCTCCTGCGCACATAATGGTTTTAATGTTCATAAAATGAGTGCGTTTAATGTGACTGTTGCTTAGTAACATTAGGACTGAAAATATAACCTTTTCGTTTTCTAAGAGTATAATCCTCGTAATTGTTACCTATTGGTGGCACAATGAAGAGGGCGGTCGTGTGGAAATTGTCTAAAACGTTTACTAACATTGTGGATGTTAATTTTGGAACAGTCACTAATTTACAACCCCTTAATAAACCTTGGAGCATTATCATTGTCATTCCATAGCAATGATACATAGGCAATATAAAAGGCATAACATCTTGTTCTGGACCTAAACCAATACCTAGATTAAATTGGTGATCATTCAATGTAAACGTACACCGACCATCGGCTTTACTGGGTAAAGTATCGTATTCGTGAACACACATTTGATGTAAGTTGGACACTAAGCTTCTGTGGGTTAGTTCCACTCCTTTAGGGTGTCCACCTGTTCCGCTAGAAAATGGAATAACTACTGTGTCATTCACATCTCTTTGGATAACCCGTTGAAAATTAGACGGCGATGTTTGTGAAATATCATCAAAATTAATTGACTCATTGGGTGGTGATATACCATTCTAATAACGAAAGGCGGTTACATGTTACACGAGCTTAAATTATCTACCTGTGTGTTTATTGTAACTATGGGAACATACAGCTTCGCAGACTGTAACGTTTTCAGTACAGTGGTATACTTCTCATTCGTGCAAAACACCAATTTGGAATTCGTTTGCAATAATTGTTTACTTATTTCGCCTGTGAAGTAAAAATTATGATCAGAGCAAAGCACGGCATACAACTAACGGGGTTAAATATTGCTACTGCTATTGGATACTGAACAATGAGCGTGTATGCTGGTTAAATAACGGCATACAAACTGATTCATCCAAAACTTCGACGAAATTGGGGGTCGAATTTTGGTCACCTAAAATGAGTTTATCTTGCGGTAACTCGTGATGCTGGTCTAATTTTTAAATTTTCGAATGTGCTCAAAAATCCGTAGAGACAAAATTGATACATTTATAGCTTTGGTTTTTTACCTTTTTAGAGTTGTCTGTTGTCTAAAAAACTTTTCTCTAAAATAAGTTGAAGATTTGAAATCCTTGTCGCGCCACAAGATATCTAAATCGTAGTTTCAAAATTAGTTGTCGTTTTATTTGGTTTTGGATAATTTGGTGATGAAATTTGGGAATCTTGACAAAAATAATCCAAAAAATTTGGGATTTGGATTTCTTGTCGGCACCACAAATACTAAGATAGCACAAGTGTAACCGGTATATTTAATAAGCCTTTTGTGAAGAAAGCACCAAGTTTGACACACCGCTTCCGTAAGGTAGAAGGAAGTGTTCTGAACCGCTGGTTATTATAAACATAATTTATTGACTGGGCTTGGTACTGTAAACTCAGATGGAAAGGTCAGCAAAGCAAATAATGTTCTTGTAGAAACTAATAAATTAAAGTATAGGTAAATCTTCAAGCCTCCAAATTTCAAACGTCAGGATTTGCGTATTTAATTCAGGCCTGTAAGTTCCAGATTTAAATTCATGCGTGAATCAAACGTTGTTGTACCGCCTTGTACTAATCGAAAAGCTCCACACTTTACATTTGCTCCACCAGCGTTATGACCGCGCCCTTTTATGCTAACGCATAAGCTTCAATTTGATGGGTGACACTTTTAGCTTAAAAGAAGTGCCAACTTTCAAACATCAAATTTAATACCTATATTAGGTAGAATCCAAGTTGAGATTATTCATGCGCTGAAGTTTCCAACTCGCCAACAACAGATTAGACCGAAATTTTTGGTATACAGTGCGTGTACAGTACTGTATACAGTATATAAAGCTGTTAGATATTACTTTTACTCATACAAATCAAATCAAATTTCAATTTGTAACCTAGATAATTATTAAAGAATTACAGTAGTTCCTTCAATTGGTTTCTTAATATCTTTCCAGCACCACTTCTAGGTATGGAGTCTATAAACGAAACTCCTCCACTTAATTGTTTATATTTCACAACATTTTCCTTTACGTACTCTTCTATTAACCTCGGGGAAACATTAGAGCCATGCTTGCGCACTACAAAAGCTTTTGGAGCTTCCCCTAATGTATCATGAGGCACTCCAACTATAGCAACGTCCTCTACATCTGGATGGTCTCTTATTAAATCCTCCAACTCGGCAGGAGCAACTTGATAACCTTTGACCTAAAACTATGGTTCCAATTCAGTGCGTCTTTAATTGTCATTTTAACCTTGATCAGTTCCTTTCGTCGACCTGTTATGAAAAAATGACCGTCGTTGTCATAAAATCCTAGATCGCCCGTTTTAAGCCATCTACCGCTCATGAATACTTCTTGATTAGCCATTTCATTTTTGTAATAACCTTTCATTATCTAATTGGAAAATGATTAAAATTTCTATGTATTCGCTGTCTTTATACCTGTGGACCGCGAAGCACAATTTCGCCAACTTCATTTGAACCCACCTCTTTACCACTTTCTGGCAAAATAATCTTGGCTTCTGTTGATGGAAGTAGTAAACCAACTCCCCCTGGTTTCACACCAGCTTTAATACGCATGGTTTGAATATGCGTTAAGGGCGATGCTTCTGTCATACCATACACCTGACTAATTATCACGTCTATACCTACTTTTTCACACAGTGCGCTTAGTTGCGCTTTTCCCAAGGGAGCTCCTCCGCAGATAATGGTTTTAATTTTCTTAAAATGAGATCGTTTAATATAACTGTTGTTTAGTAACATTTGGGCTGAAATTGCAATCTTTTTGTTTTCTAGGAGTATAATTCTGGTTTTTACTGTTACCTATTGGTGGGGCAATGCAGAGAACGGTCGTGTGGAAGTTGTGTAAAAGGTTTACTAACAATGCGGATGTTAATTTTGGAAAAGTTACTAATTTACACCCCTTTAATAAACCTTGCAGCATTATGACTGTCAATCCGGAAATATGATACATAGGCATTATAATCGGCATAACATCTTGTTCTGGACCTAAACTAATAGATTAAATGGTGGTCATGCATTGCAAACGTATATCGACCATCTGCTTCACTGAGTAAAAGATCGAATTCGTGCACACACATTTGATGTAAGTTGGACACAAAATTTCTGTGGGTTAGTTCCACTCCTTTAGGGTGTCCACCTGTTCCGCTAGAAGTATAGCTATTGTGTCATTTACATCTCTTTGGAAATCCTGTTGAAAATTAGACGTCGATGATTGTGCAATATCATCAAAATCAATTGAATCACTGGATGGTAAAGTACGATTCTATTAACGAAAGGCAGTTATATGTTGCACCAGCGTAACTTATCCTACCTGTGTGTTTATTGTCACTATGGGAACATACAGCTTTGCAGAGTGTAACGTTTTCAGTACAGTGGTATACTTCTCATTCGTGCAAAACACCAATTTGCAATTCGTTTGCAATAATTGTCTACTTATTTCGCCTGTGAAGTAAATTATGATCAGAGCAATAAGGCGTGGCGTTAAATATTGCTAGTGGATAATGAACAATGAGCATGTTAGGGCTTCCTTGTAAAAATAAACTATAGTAGTCCTATGTTGTTTTCACATACACAGAAAAAAACACATCAACGAGTTTGCATTTTGGAAAATTTGAATAACCGCGCACAATTGTCTAATATAGCCATCGGGCTATTCCGTGTGATCTATAGTATAATTTGTTTTTTTTTTGTTATTGATTACACCTACGTAGCGTTCAGGCTTTGCCGTGTTTTTTGCCCTTTCCCTACAATTAACTTTTATCACACGCTAGCCGTACCTAGGATCTGTATTTTAGTAGGTTTTACTAATTTGTTTGCACCAATAACACTGTGGTAACATGACAATGACCACCGATTAGCGATTTGTTTAAATCTAATAATTTATCCCTAGTTTGGCTATTTGCTTTACGTATGCTATGCTATGAGAGTATGAGCAGTATTTTTATTACGCAGTTCCGTTTCAAAACATACTTTAATTTATTTTATTATGGATAATGTCGTTAATTTCTTTTTCTTTATTGGTTAAAATGTGTTGTAGATTGCTTTAAAAATTTTCTTTTTTTCCAGGTCATCCTGAACAACGTCTAAAATCATTTTGTTCGTTTTTGGGATGACGCTGAATATGCTATTTTTAATTTCATTTGTATCAACTTTTAATAGTCTTAATTAGAATCTTATCATTTTTTGTGGGTCTCTTGTTGGATTTTTTACTTGGTTTTTGATTAAATGTTTAGGATGAATGATTGCTTGAGATGTTCGGTCGTTGCTTTCTTTTTAGTTTGAATGCGAATAACTCAATATGTTAAAATATTATTTATATTAATATTAAAAAGTTAAGTTAAAATAAACAAAAAGACAACAAGCGGTGTTTTCGAATGGTTACTCATCCAAATACTAACAGATCAAATTTAAAACCTGTCAATTGACACTTGAACCTTTTGAAACTTGAAATCTATACTTAAAGGTGAAAGTTTGTAGCCTGGTTTGTAGAGAGTGTAGGCCAAAGAAAAATTTTATTTGATAGTATTTTTAATTTTTAATTTCCGCCGCCTTTTTTCACAATACACCTGTACTCCCATAGATGACTCTGCCCCTTAATTTCCATCTGCCATAATCGCCGTTTGTAGTTTCGGCTCAGTGCTTGGTCAATGACTTTAAGGATAAAGGCATCCACCTCGTTCTAAGAACGACTCACTTGGGTTAAGGTAATAAATTATACACAAATAACTGAAATAATGTCAATGTAAGTCATGATACCCATTTGTTGATGTCACTTTTCAAATGGAGGCGAATGTCGAAAAAATCAACTTGTCAAATTTATACTTAAAACTTAAAATGCCATTTTCAAAATTCTTGACCTGTAAGGATCAGTATACAAATGTAGGTACTTCACAGCACAACCCTACCATAAATTGTCGTCATTAGCTCAATTAATTTATAAACATGGATTATTAGAACATCCGTCAGTGGAAACAAAAGATTGTATAGCAATACCACCAATTTTTTATTATTTTCTGCACAAAGTTCTCTCTATCTTTTTTACATGACCTGATAAGAGTTCATTTTATATAAAGTGTGTAACAGAGCTTTGCACTTTTGTTGTTTTGTCTACAGTTTTTTAACTGACTACTAACGATCTCTAATCACCTTGTGGAGGAAGGAGGCAATTCATCAACTTTACAGGGTGCTTTTGTTATCGTATTTGTAACTAACACGAGACCAAAACATTTTCGGTTCGCAATTGGCAAAAAAAACCTTGTGCAATTATTCTCAAATTACGTTTAACCATCTATTTCTCATATTATATTTTCTACTTTCTTCATAATTTTCGTGACGGATACAGCCCATGATAAACCAAGCCCATCTTATACTATACCTTTCCTTCTGAGTTATCATACTAGCTTGGCAGTTTCTATTTTCTATTCTATTTTGTCCCCTATTCCTGGCTCCCTAACGGAAGCTCCACATAGGTACTTATCCAGATATAACAAAGCCATGTAATATAACGTAGTGCATTCTTCACAAAATACCGTGACTTACTGATTTTTAGCTGTGTCGTTGTATTTGCAACAATAAACGTACCTGGGGTAAACGATGGATTTAAGGGCGTAACTTGCACACCAGCTTGTACAGCACCCAGGAACACTATTGGGTATTCAGGAATATTTGGAAGCATAATTGCGACAGTATCATCTTTAACCATGCCAAATTTGTGTAAGAAAGACGCTATGGAGTTACTTTTGTTATACAATTCTTGATAGGTGTAACTACGGTTGGTTTCAGCGCAAACCTGTAAAACAGTTGACTAGTTGAATTTTATCAATTAAATTCCTTGCTCAAAGAAAGATAAAATGGAGCACTTCATCAAAAAACATGTAAACGTATATCTAAATGATATGTACTATTATACTAAGCAATAAACACTTTTAAGCTTATACAACATTTTCCCCTACTGAGCGTTCGTTAATTTTAGGTAATGGACTAATGGTAGAATAACAAAATGATTGTCTTTTATTATTTGCGTCTTTTTGATGAACGCCAAGTTTTCTATACCCCTTGTAGTTCAGATGGTGATAAAATGAAATGTACAGGGTGTACATCTCGTTGAGGGATCATGGTAGAAGAACAATCGTTTTGATTGATCTAAGCGTACGCATTCTACAGTTTTGTGAGCATTCTTAGAGGTAGGTAATACTCCATTTTGCATTTTTCCACAAGCCCCAATTAAATTTTTATATTCAAAGAGCTCCGATGCACCTAGGTCCTAGAAGATTGACTACTACTGCTAATCATTTTAATTAGTAGAAGGTTTGCTCCAAGTGTTAACGTTATGCTAACTTACCGTAGCAGTTTTGTTAGACCATTTGTCTAAATTTCTCCAGATCATCTCGTCCAAGTATAAATTTGGTATTTCTATCGTCTTAAGTGAGTGCAGTTTTCTACTGAATACAAAAATCCTTCTCCCAGTCAATGTTTTCCACATTTTAGGATTTCTAACTGTAGCCAACATTTTATTTTAATAACTTTCTTAATCTCCACTCGACTGTTTTTGTATTACTGTTGTTATATGTCCGCTTATTCACTCAAACTACACTGATCAAAGTACATTTGTATATATGGTGCGAATTGACATTATCTTTACGAAGTAAAATACTGATATCGCTATTTACGATATATAAAAAATGAGAAATTAAGTAATTGATCAAAAATAGTACGCGGCACCTATTTCACTTTCCACTTGTAGTGTACAGATATTTTATACACATTACCGAAAAATTTGCCCTTTTACTTTCAAAAACAATTCATCAGTTAAAAACCTTAGCAAATTAGTAGTTCGGTAAAAAGTGGAAATGTACAAGTTAATTTTTTATCTTCTAACAAGGATGACCCAGAAGTGTTTGGCAATTGCATCAGATTACATTTTTTTGTTATGTATCTAACTATCTGTTAGAAAAGATGTCATTACTATTTTAATGTTGTAATAAATATTTCTATTTCCGTCATTCATATCATTTTTAATTTCAACCTTTAATAAATTATGCTGCTTAATGTTTTCAATTTCAAGATTGTACAAATTACACAACTAAATTAATCGCTGCATCCTTTTGACATTATTTATGACAAAAAGTTCTTCGTTCGATGGGAAAGTATTTTCTGGGGAATTTAGCACCTTAAGAATTGATCTTTCGGTGTTTCAGCAAAACGTAACTACCCTTTGGTTTCAGTTAAACGTATCTGGTAAATATCTTCCCATGGTGATACAATTGTTTCCATGGAAATTAACTGCCAGGTAAATTTAAAGGTATAATGTGCAAGACCGACACTGAATGTTGCAAGTATTACAATGCCTAATCATCAGATGCTGATTTTAAGGCTCCTCGAAGAAAAGCATAACGTGCGATAACCAAATTCTTAAAGAGCTAAATAGGAATGAGGACCGATTTTTTTGTACAATCGAAAAAGAAAGTTCCAACGAATTTGACGTCTTGAAATTAATTTCGATTTGCTTGTACAACTTCGTACGGCTTGCAAATGGAGATTGGAGAGTATTAATTAATCGATCTCAATCTACGAGGAAATCATAGAGCTCGTTGGGAGTATTGAAGCGACTGCAAGTAAAAAACAAGTTAAAAAGTCATTATGCAAAGGACCTGGAAAAAATACCGGTAGGCACGAGATCCTTACCCCATTCTCTTTCAAATAAGCAACCTATCGTCGAAGTCTATACAGTTTAATGAAAAATAGTGGAGCGTATACAAATACATACAAATTTTGAAATGGGTATTAATTTTACTTTTATTCGAAGTGTCTACATATGGAACTTTTTTTAAATGCTTTCGTAAATAGCATTGCGCATTGTCTACATAGAAATTTCATTGAACGTCTTTATAAATAAAACATACAGCATGCACAGTAATTTTGAAACCGGTATTAGTTTTAGTTTTCATTCAAAGTGCCTACATGTGATATTTCATTTAACTGCTTTCATAAATAACAAAGTTGCCTATGCGCATGCGCAAAACTAAATTTTGCAACCGGTGTTAGATTTGTCTTTATTTCAAATGCCTATGTATAAAATTTCATTTAAATGCTTCCGTGAATAAGAAAGTTGGCATTGCGCATGCGCGAAACAACATTTTGAAAACGTCGTTAATTTTGCGTATATTCGTAGTGTTATATATAAAATTTCATTTAACTGTCTTAATAAATAAAAAAGTTTGCATTGCACATGCGTTAAACCAAAGTTTTGGCATTGCGCATACGCAAAACCAAAAAATATCGGTATGCACGGAATCCTTGGACCAAGCCCTTTCAAATGAGTCCCATATCGCCCAAGTCGGATGAGTGGTGCAGAAGGAGTACGTATGACGGACGGACGGACAGACGACAAAGTGCAGCCAATAGCGATTTTTCACTTTGAGGAAAATACGCTAAAACAAACATCAATTGAGGTTTTGTTCTACGTTGCCACCGCTTTTTTTAACACATAATAGCATCCTCTGATTAACTCCGTTGGTAGTCGCCTCTCGAATTCCTACTCCATTTCATCACCATAACTTGCAGTTCTTCACGTGAAACAGCTGGTGTAACTTTGTTTTTTATAAGCCCCCACACATAAAAAGCCAGTGGCGTTAAATCTGGAGGTCTAGAAGACCAATAGCGCGTATCTGAAGGCCTAATCCACCTGTCTTCAAAAATGTTTTAAGTACATACATAATAAGCATCATAGGTAGAATGAGCCGGCGCTCCGTGAAGTTTAAACCAAAAGGTAACGTTTCCACGGATGGTACAATGCCATCTACTAACCTGCACGATGTCTGTGTAATGTGTAATGACACGAGGAGATCGCATCGTACTAAAGTAAATCTTTAAAATGAAACACTGAACAAGTTATTGTAGGTCTTTTTTGTATGATATGACACACGGCATGCTAGATTTCATAAATTACCCCACCATCTATTTGTGGATCGTTATTTACTATGACCCTCATCTATGATCGTTGCGAAGTGTTTGAAAACGAAGGATGAGGCGTTCTTTGAGTTAATTAGATTTCATAACGAAGCGCAGAATCAACAGAAGAAGTTACTGCAAAGTGCAAAGTGACAATGGTGACGAGTCAGGAGTGTCAGGAGTTTTCGGGAAGTACTTGCATTAAAAAAAAAAGACAAGAGAAGTGCGATAAGTTGTCTACAGCAAAATGGTCTGTCAGAACGACACAACCGCGTTCTGGTAGAAATGGCAAGATGCATGATGTCAGAATCTTGTATACACATGAATTTTTGGGCTGAAGGCATTATGAAATCAGTTTTTATCAGATTCCGTGCTTCGCATCTGCAATATTGAGTTTAAAATTCACTACGAAATCTGACCCGATAAAAAATTAGAATACAGGAGGTAAATTTAATCTAAATTTTTGGTTGCCAAGCATGGGCAAAGCGGGCCCGCCCATTTCGCCGTGGCCAGTTCGCCGTCGCCAGTTCGCCGTCGCCAGTCCGCCGTCGCCAGTCGGTCGGCGGGCCACTTCGCCGTAGGCCCGGTTCGCCGGCGCCAGTCCGCCGGGGGGCCACTTTGCCGTCGGTCTATAAATGCCAGAGGGATTGATCTGAAGCGAATGTTTCGTAGAGTTATCCAACCAACATGATTATTAAAGTTTTCAGTATTTATGCAATTTACCTGTTCGCCCTTCCCAGATAATTGTCCTCAAACCAATCCAGGGGATGCAATTGGTTGGGAAGGTAATTACTGAGCTGATTGACTGCATCCTGCAATCGTTCCACGGGAACAAACGCATAAGTAATATAAGAATAAGTAATAAATAATAAGTAATATTAATAAAAGATAAAAGTAAAGGTTTGGGTAGGTTTGTTTATAGTCACATAATTAAATAATAAGTAATAATAATAAGAATCAGGAAATTTTAATTTAAGAGTCTTATTATTTATAATTGCGTAATGGACTATTGAATATAGCGCAGAATAACAAGCAAAATGGAAATACGATTTATTGACTAAATCAATCTGACATTATTTTTTATATTTCTCAAAGCCAACCTATCTCCAACACTCCGCCTCAATTACTAATCGAACATTATCGATAGGAATTGCAAGTTCAAATCATAATCACAATGTTCCAAAATAATTAATTTAAACGAATCAAATTTAGTTCATTTCGCAAATAACTCAAACGTCTTCTTTGGTAAACCTTTTGTCATGATGTCAGCTAATTGTTCATTTGTTGAAATGTACCTGACCTCAAGAATTCCTTGATGTATAAGATTACGAACAAAATTGAATTTCACATCAATATGTTTTGTCCGCTGCATTTCCTTTTCCTGCGATGATATCACAATTGCACACTGATTATCTTCATTCAGTATTATTGGTTCGTCAGGTGTCTCTCCAATTTCCATTAACAATCCACGCACCCACATGATTTCACATGCCGCTAAGCATAATGACACATATTCAGCTTCGGTAGATGATAAAGCAACACATGTCTGCTTACGTGTCATCCAAACCACAGTGGCCCCAAATACTTTTATCACGTTCCCAGAAACTGATTTTCGATCGTTGATATCGCCTGCCCAATCAGCATCCGCATATCCAATCAATGCAACCGAATTCTCCTTGTAACGATATTCCAACTTCAAATCAATTGCTCCCTTGATATATCGGAGGATTCGTTTAGCCGCCCTCCAATGATCCTCAGTCGCACATGATTGAAATTGACTCAAATAATTCACTGCCGCGGATAAGTCTGGTCTAGTTGTACAAGCTGCATACATCAAGCATCCAATCAATTCACGGTACGGTTTATCTGTAAGTTTGCTCCCCGAATCATTCCCCAATTTTAATTGACATTCTATGGGAGTTGAAATTGAATTGCAATCAGTCATTCCAAATCGTTGCAATACATCTTCCAGATAGCCACGTTGATTTATCCTCAAAATCCCATGTTCCCGTTCACGTTCGATGTTAATGCCAAGAAAACTTCTCGTTTCACCCATGTCATGCATTTCGAATTCCTTGGATACCATCTGTTTAATTTTTATGATCTCTTCGATATCTTCTCCCAACAAAATGAGATCATCCACATATAATAACAGATACACCACTTTTTCCTTATTGATACGAGAATACAAACAGTGATCATATTCTGATCGAATAAATCCATTCTCAAGTATGAAATTATGAAATCGCTCATTCCACACACGGGAGGCTTGTTTCAAACCGTATAATGATTTGTTCAATTTACATACAAAATCGCCCTGCATGAAACCATCCGGCTATTCCATGTAAATGTCCTCCTCGAGTTTTCCATTTAAGAATGCCGTTTTTACATCCATTTGATGAATCTCTAAATCACGCTCCACAGCAAGAGCCAACATTATCCTTAATGTAGCAATTCTTGCAACTGGTGAATATGTTTCATGAAAATCAAGTCCCTTACGTTGAGTGAATCCACGAGCAACCAGTCGCGCTTTGTACGACATCAACTTGCTCTCATCATTCCGCTTTCGAGAAAATACCCATTTGCAAGTGACAACAGAACGATTCATCGGACGCTCAACTAACTTCCAAGTATCATTTCGCTTGTGTGAGCTCATCTCATCATGAACCGCTTTCATCCATTGTGCCGCATCATCTCTCTTCGCAATCTCACCAAATGACTGTGGAACGTTGTCAACATATGCCATAGCAT